AAATGGTCTTTGTTTTACAGTATGAAGATCAATGTAAACTTACTCAAATACCATGTTAGTTAGGGGCTGTGTGTTTAGAGAAAAACAATAGTTGGGTGTAATCTGTATATGAATTCACACTTAAATCCCAAGGATTTTGAAGAATTTAACAGGTAAGTACAACTTGTACAAGGGTTGGAGCTGACAGTCCATACCTTTTCTGGATTATTGCAAGCTGCAGTGATGCTAATGGCAGCACAGCATGGGTATATCTACCTCCAGCACTGACTGTGCTATAAACCTAGACTTGGAACAGTCAAGCCACTGCGTGAATACTAGACCAAAGTGTCTAGTAGTTCACATCATCCTGGATTTCAGGTCAGGGTCCAGTTTCTTGATCTGCATCATGATCTTTAATCTAGGGCAAGTCGTATGGTCTCTGGCCTCAGTTTCTCCTTCCCAGGTGGGGAGAAAAGTACTTGCTTCCCCTAGCAAAGGTATAGGGAGAATGAATACACCAGACCCCTAGACACTACCGTTTACTATTAGAGTATAAAAGGACTGGAATGCATGGTTCACCAACTTGCTTTGTAGGTTAAGGACTCTTTAATTGCTACCTCCTCAATGTAGCAGTTGCCACTTCTGCCACTGGTTGGGACTCAACAAGTAGCTGATTATAGGCCTAGTTCTTTCTAGCAAAAAGCCTTTGTGAGTGAAGGAGATAACAAGCTCTAGTACCCACATCACTTGTTAAGTCAAGCAAACGTGTTTCTGCTTTAAAATCACTGGGGAATCTTTCACCTTTTTTCCTTCCCTCAGTTAAGAGGATTACAGGAATTGCTTGACCTGTACTTCGACCACCTTTAGAAGGGTATTGATTTGGTTGGCATGTTAAGATGCCTTGCTTTTGCCTTGTGTGGTATTTGCTATACATCTCATCCTGTTTGATTGTTAAAGCTGATTTTTTTTTTTTTTTTTTTTTCTTAAGCTATTTATTTAGCTATTCTAAGCTTTAAGTAGCATTAAACCTCCCCCCACCCCCAGGGGAGAGGCTGTTTAAAACTAGGATGTGCTTTCTAGGAATCTTCTGGATGAGGAACATCGGTTTCATACGTAACAACTTCTGATCAGTTGTGCAAGCTTCCAGGAACCATACTTACAGATTCGGCAGAATATTGATGACAAACTGGTATTGAGGTAGGGCAGCTGAAGCTAAATGGCATAACCTATAAATAATGATGTCTGTAACTGGAGTCTGTGAAATGCAACATAATGCTGTCTCCTCTACAAAACTACCTTTATGAAACACGAGCATTGTCCACGAAGCAGTCCTTACGGCTAACTACCAATGCCTCTGGTGCAGCTTTCCAAATGTCATGTGCAGCGCATCTTGCAGCACTAGTTATAGTGCTGCATGCACAAACACCAGTGCCATTAAGGCCAAGGTGTGTAGTCGGGGGTTCTTGTGAAATCTTGGTGCTGGCCTTAAAACGCCGATTCTACCTTTGAATAGTAATATACAGTATGAGATCAGCAAATAGTATTTTCATTCTCTTCATGGAAGTCTCTTATGCTTCTAGTCATGCTTGTCATCACAGACCTCTCCATCTTCTGGAGGTGAAGAGGGACTGGAATAGTTAAAACTTCCCATGGTGTGTTCCTGGAACATGCATGCGCCAACTTGGTATCTCCATCTGCTGCTGCTTGTTATCCTGTACTCATTCTTCTCACCCACCCCAAGTATGTGGGCGTTGGTTAATCTACTGTAACAGCGGTATGGGAGCAGTCGGTTATTGAAATACTCCGCAGTGTCTAAGTTGTGAGATACTTGGCTTGTCATCTTGTACTCCTGATGGCTTGTCCTGTCTCGTTTGCAGTGCTGCTTAAGCCCCAAGCAGCTGTTAGAATGGATGTTGTGATATGGAGCTAAGTGAAAAGAGCTGGAGAAGCTATTTCTCTAAAGATGACTGTATGCAGATAAATTGGGCATCCTTATTCAGTATTAGTGGTGACCTCTGAGCTTCTCTGCTGTGAGGCTAGTGGAGTACATAGCTGAATTCCCAGGCAAAATTGACTTATCTTTCCCATTTAAAAAGGAAAACCCTGAAAGGATCAGTGCTCAAAGCAAGGAGCTGAGGAGATTGGAGTCTTTTTTTTTTTTTCTTCCCCCCCCCCCAGCTCTTTTGGGGGAGTAAAATAACTCGGATGGCTGTAAACTGCTTCTTGCTGACCTTCCACCCCATGAATCATTGCACCTCCAGTGAAAAATTGAATTTTTTGATAAAGGCAAGTATTGATGGCTAGCAGCTGCAGACATCTTGACTGTTTATGTAGATACTTTTTAATGAAGGGGAATTCTGGATGGGTGCCCTTTTTGCAGGAAAAAGCTCTGCAGTACAGAAATGATTCCTCAACCTCATTGTTTTTCTGACTCCATAGAATCTCTTTTATCCTCTATGCTGCTTTATTGCAAAGGCAAAACTTGCTTGCCTCTGAGCAAAAAGTAATCAAGCTTTGCCTTTGCAATAAAGCAGCATAGAGGATAAACAGATTTAATAGTATGAGCAAAACAGTGAGGTTGAGGAATCATAAGCGGATGAAAAGATGGTGTTGAACTAGTCCAAAGCAGTTGTCTGGCAAACCATACGCTAGCAAACATAATATAAGTGCGACTTTGAATTACACTTACAGAATAGATATGCAAACCAGCATAGATTTTTCTGCTTGTCTAAATGTCCACTGTGACAGGAAATGTAGTGAAGAAATATCAACCTAGTTATTGGCAGCTTTACTGTATACAAGGCAGTGGTCCAGTTTGGGATGAGTGGCATCCTGCATTTTAGGGTTTTCTTTCGGATTTGGAACTGGGCTGAGTAAGTAGTATGTTTAAAAAATCCAGCGATGGATCATCTTGTGCCTGTTCAGCACCCTTGATTTAATAGTTGCAGCTGCAGCACCCAAGATGAATGTTATGCTTCCTGCAGATGTAAGACTAATGTCAAAAAAGCCATTGCAAACTCTGTGACCTTACTGCTGCTTAGTAATGAGCTTTTCTGCAGCAAACAGTTCAGTGACAACTTCCTTATTTATCTATGGGCTCTGCCTGAAATGAGATCTGTTCATTCAGATCTGACACCAGTAAAATAAGTCCCTCTGCATGGGACTTCTACAATGGAAAACTTTGTTTCTAGCTGCAGAAAATGTTAGATGTGGTGATACTGGACCTAGGACTTGTTTGTTTTTTAAGCTTGTGCTGGCTAGCCAGGTTCAGGAGGCCAGATCTCCTATTTCTGAACTCTGTGGGGACCCCCAAAGCATTACTTAATCTGACTCTTTGGTGCATGTGGCTGTTGGCAGTGCACTCAATTTGCTGCTTAGCACAGTGTCCTGGGGTATTCTCTAGTGGGAGGCATCTACAAGGTTTAACAGTACCAGCTGTTCAAGTCTGCTAAATATCATGGTTCCAGGCAACTTGAATTGGCATAGTAATTTCTGCAACTATATGTGAAGACAAATTCTGTGCTGTAATGAGCTGCTTTATGGCCTGTAACTGCATTTCAGAAGTTATTACTGTGGAGGTGCAGCCTTGTACCTTGGAAAGAAGATGGTGATGATCCCTGGCATAGTATGGAAGATGGTTCTGATTTCTGTGAATACGACGTTGTCTTTAGTTAATGGGGTTGTATCTCCAATTCCAGTCTAGGGAGAGGAGTATGAAAGTTCCCTTCCCATTTCCACTGGCCCTTACAAGGAGCAGCTATTTGCTGTTATGCTTAGCTCAGGGGTGGGCAAAATGCGGCCTGCGAGCCGGATGCGGCCCACCAAGCAATTCTATCTGGCCCGCGAGGCCCCTAAAAAATTTAAATATTTAGCTGCCCCTGACTACCTGTCATGTGGCCCTTGATGGCTTGCGAAAACTCAGTAAGCGGCCCTCCACCGGAAATAATTGCCTGCCCCTGGTTTAGCTACTTCTCAGTATTCAGCTGCATGCTGGCTTGCCTTGTTAAATTGCTAATTGGTGTCAATCAGATGTTCCTCAGCCTTCATAGTAAGCATCTTGCTGAGATGAACTGCAGCATTTATTCTCGTTGGAGCTGTTTTGGGATGGGTTTATTGTTCGACAGCCTCTGGATTTGGTAGCACTTTTTAGAACTGAAGTGGCTAGAGGATTCCAGATTAGACACTACAATGCAGAGCTAAACAAATTTTAAGGCTTAATTTTTCCATGGTCACTGTTGCATTGTGTAGAGGTCTCACAGCAAGGGGCAAAATCTTAGAGTTGCTCCAAAGCTACACTTTTGTAACACGAGCTCCTGGCAGTTGACACAAATTGCCTTCAGTTAGCACCTTACTAGCTCCAGGCTGTGCAGCTGGTGGGTTCAGGGTGTTTTGTGCAAGTTACAAAATGTGAATCCTCTGTAAACTGTAGTCCACAGTGAGCTTATTTGCTTTAACACTTGGAAAGGGGTGTCTGTGCCTGGCCTTCAGCTTGAGCACTTCGCAAGTCACAGAACTGATTGTACGTCTAGCTTCCTAGTTAAGAAGGTGGAAGAGTGAAAGCCTCCTATGCCAATTCTGTCTGGACTTGCAGCTCTGAAAAAAGGCTAAGGTTACTCTTTCCAGCAGTGCCCAATAATGAACAGATGGAAGCTAAGAGCAACTGAACCACAAAGCTACCTTCATGGTGACGGATCATTGTTCACTTGCATGAATACATTGGGGCTTCATACATACCTTGTCCAGGCTGACAGCTGAACAAACAGCATCGTGGCTTGTCGAATGCTACCACCTTGCTGGAAGTTGGTATTTTTTAAGGTGATACAGAAATGCAGTGTTTTCAAGCTTGTGACTCTAAGGGATTTGACGCATCAGAACTGAGCGTGCCTTTGACCTTACACAGATGTTGTTCATACTCCTTTTATCTCTACTAAATGTTTACAGTATTAAAATGTTGATGCCCAATCATGTCCAGTGTACTCACTGCCACATACAACCCAATGCTGTCTTTTTTTCCTCCTCAGGTCTTATGCAACATGGGAAGAGAAGACTAAAATTCCATCATGATCGGAGGCTTGTTCATTTATAATCACAAAGGGGAGGTTTTAATCTCTCGAGTGTACCGGGATGACATTGGGTAAGTGCCTCTGCTGCATCCTTGGCCTTTGCATCCCATCCTGCCCTCCGTGCGCAGACAGCGCTCCAGAGCTGCTTCCCTCTGCATTAGCTCTGCATGCACATGTGACACGGTAGCCCTCAAACTTGCTAGCTCAATTTACTTGTGAATCTCCTACACTTCTCTCCTTTACCTTCAGGGTCCTGTTTTCAGTGATACTTAGTAAGAGGAAGGGGGCCTCTGTTAGATACCCACCCCCTACAAGACTAACAGCATATTGACACTCGAAGCACCTCTGAACTATGGATCATCTGAAGAATTGCAGTGAAGCTGGTAGCAGAGATGACCTGAGCAGGGTGCAGGGCCCAGGGCAAATCGGATGGATTGTGTGGGGCCCTGTCCCCAGACACGGGGAAGTCGGCGGCAGGTTTGGCAGCAAGCAGGGGTGCCGAGCGGCCAGATGTGAAGCTGGTGACAGCACGAGTTGCTGTGGCTGCTCCACCCGGCTCTGCAGGGACCCCCCAAAGCATGGAGCCTGAGCTGGTTGCCCTGACGTGCACCCCCCGCCCCCCTAGGGATGGCCCTGGCTGGTAGACTCCATGTTCCATAAGCTGGGCTTTAAAGTCTGAATGATAATGGCCTGTCCTCAATATACCAGTCCCATTGCTCACCTGTAGGCCTTTCTGAGTATAGGGGATAGAGTGGTGACTGTTTCCATATGGAGAAAACTAATCTTTCTGAAGGCTGGCATGCTGCCAGGGCTGCAGTGAAACCAGACTTTACTTGGTAAGCAGCGTTTGCTTTTGGGCATGAGTGCAGAGCCTACTAGGCAAAGCACACACAGCAGTCTGACTGATTTGAGCAAACAGAGGCCTCTGACATTCAAGGATAGTAGACAGATGATGGCAGCTGTGTTGGGGGAAGCCTCCTGAGTAATTGGGTCACCTTATCAGACCTCTGCTGTGTGCTGCCTTGCTCAGTTCCTGACTTAACCTTTGCACCCCTGCCCTAATATTTTCTTGTTGGAAACTTACTACCAGCTGACATTGCTCCCTCTTTGGGAGCTGCACAGTTCACTGAAGCTAATCTTGTCCCTTAAATGTAGTTTTATGCTGGAAAGTAATTTGTAAAAGGCTCACTTCTATATTGTAACTCTAGTGAGTTCTAGTTGATGATCAGATTGTCCTCTGTTAAGGCTATTCATACCTGTGCAAACAGCCTGAATGCAGTGAGGTGCACAGGGTCTTGTGTGGTGCAAAGAACCTCTGATGGGATGGCACGCTAGCCAAGAAGACTTTCAGATTTGATGTGGGGTATAAGACATGGTATTGCCACTTCACAGCAGATTTGCCCTCTGGGTTCTGTAGCCTGAAAAGTCCCTCTTACTCCAGAGATGGGCTGTGTTGTGGGGCTTAACTTTACTGTGAGACCCAGCTGTTCCCTTCCTGTGGGAAGGGGGTGTAATACAGCTATTTGACAGCACTTTTTAAAGCTTGCCAGGTTAATAAGATTTTAAGGATTTCTTCTGTTCTCACTCTTCAGTTAGCCCTCATCCCAGTCACACTCTTGAGTGCATGATAGCCATGGGATAGATGGAAGCATGGCTATCCCAGCAGCCTGACTCCTTGATACAGGCCTCAGCTCTGCAAGTACAGAAGACTCCTTCAATGCTGAGAAACAGCCAGCCTGACTTGATAAAACTGAATCTTCTAAGCCCCCGCAGTCCTAACCCTCTTCCAGAGATCTTTTGTGTGTAGCTGCAAGCTCTGGCCCTTGATCAAAGGGACCAAAGCAACTTTTAAATTTGATAAAGCTATCTCTTGGATGGTATAATGGGATGGTGTTGGTGAGCAGCACTGGTCTGGAGGTCAGATTTTTTACTTTTTGTCTTGGCTCCTTAAAATGTCTTGAGCAATTCTCGGTAATAGCTAGGGTGATCCTTTTTGAGCCCTGAAGAGGACTTAAAGCTGAACTGAGTTTGCTGTCTAGCCTCACAGTTTAGGAGTTGTAAGCTTCCTTGATGTCTCCATTTTGTGTGTCTAGAAATATCAAACCCAATGGCTAAGGTTTGCTAGAGGATGACAAGCTCAAAGGTATAACTCGACACTTACTGTAAGTTCTGTCCTAAGACGTTCTTAAGTGTGGATGTTGGGTATTTTGTGTTAATCGGTCAATAAGGATCAAACCTTTTTGCCTCTAAACTGCTCACTCATTTTACTTCTGCATAGTTCAGCTTCACAGGTTTTCCCCAGAGCTGGCAACATATTTCCTCTTTGGATAAACCTCTTTTCTAATTTTAGTATGACAGCCTGAAAAGGGGCAAAAGTCCAACTTGGCAAAAATAATCTGTAAATCCCCTTTGCTTCCCAAAAAGGCATCAGGAAGCAAACTTGTAGCATGGCACATGACCTTGCTTCTGTGGAAGTGTTTCAGGGGAACTCTAGAAAACACGGCTATCAGGACAGAAAATGGCCTCTTTCCAGTCCACTAATTTCCTAGGTCTTTCTAAGCAAGCAGGCTTAGCTTTCATTTAGTAAATGGGAAAATGCCTACTACTTCCATGAGGCTGTAGATGTGGCACTGTGATTGATAAGACTTCAGTTGTATTTTGCTGCCGCTGTTTGTGTGTTGACAAATGGAAGCCGAGCTTTTATGACTTGTGTGGAAGGAGCTTGAGTAGATAGATTTAATCTTGGTGTCAGGCAGAGGTCAGCTTTTAGATGCAACTGTCCAGGGAGTCCCTTGCATTTTCCTTTTGATCTAGGAAAAACTCAGCATCATGTTGGGGCAAAACTGGAAAATGGGAGGCAGTGTCTTTGGTTACACTCAAGCAGCTATTTGGCTCTTCAAATACATGGGTATCAAGTCTATATTAAGGACTTCCTGCAGACATAGAGCTGAGCCAAAGCATTGAATGGTTTCTGATGGTGTCTGGCCTACACCTAGGAAACAGGCTTGCAATTTGGTCCCACCAAGCACATGTCTTCTCCAAATGATGATCCTGTGAGTTATGAACTTTTTGATGGAGCTATGGAGTTTAATTGCCTGCTGCTGTGGAGTTTAATTGCCAGACTAGCAAACAGTGAAACCGTGTCTACTTCAGTTAGTTATTGCAGTGTAGTTACTGGAAGGTGTACATGTCACCGCTGCTCCTGATGGCTTTGACACTGGAGGACCCAGAAAGAACTAGTTACCAGAGAAGGTTCTTCATTTTCAGGCTAGAGTTTTTCCTACTGATAATGCCGTTTTCTTGGGTGGGGGTGAGCAGTCAACTGGAGGAGGCTGGGGACTTGCCCAACTGCTGCCTAAGCTTCACATGAGCAGTAATTGGGGCTTCAGCCTCCCTGGCTCTCAGTGGAGCATTTTAAAGTAGAGCATCTGCAGTGGTGAATTACAGCCTGCGTGTTGGGAGAAACTCAAAGCTGCAAGTCTAGAGCAACTAGAACCCTTCCCCTTGTGCACGTGTAAAACTTCAGATTGAATATGGGACTTGAGCAAAGTGGCAGTTAATGGGAAGAACCATTCCCTTGAATTCCCTGCCACTTAAAGCTGAGGCTTTTTGCTTGCACAAAGAATGGCTTAAAATAAATGCGTAGTGCATTGGTCTAAGCAACAAGTAGCTGCGTGCATAAATAGGACTCACTTAAATTGCATAAAAACAAATGCAAGGCAGTTCCTTCGGGATACCATGGAAGGGGGATTCAGTGTAGCCTCCAAGCCCTCTAGCTGAATAGTTTACTCCTGTAATAAAAGCTCTACTGGCTTCTCACGTGTAGCCCTAGAGCAGTGGTTTTCAACTTTTTTTTTTTCCAAGTGTATTTTTTTTTGTGGACCCCTTAAAAAAACAAAAAAAAAAAAAAACAACAACAACAAAAAACCCCACTTTTTATGGAGGTGTGGAGCCCTTTGAATTGTAATTGTGGGTATTCAGATACTTTTCATTCGTCATTGTCATCTTTCATGGACTCCTGGGGGTCTGCAGACTCTCACAGGTTGAAAACCACTGCTGTAGGGAGACATTGGATAAGAACATGCTGTCAAGTATTTCTGCATCTTCATTGCCAAGTTGCATGCACTGTAATTCTTGATCACTTGAATTTTTTTAAAAACTATTTCTAGTAACGCTCTTCTGCTTTGTGGCTGATGTGCTTTGTTCTTAGGATCACATCATTAACAACGCAGCATCTGAATATCCAGGAAGTGTCCTCTCTCCATGCTCTGCTTCTGTCTGACTTGCTGTTAATCCCTGTGGCTGGGCCAAGCCTGGGAAACTTTAGCCCAAGCAATATTTTGTTGGGGGAAGCATGGCAATGGAAATCTGTAGTATCAGTCCTGAAATCTGGTAGGGGGAAAAATGTATACTTGCTGAAGCTGGGCTTTTCCAGCCCTTCTAGCTTGAGACTCTTGGGTTATTTTTGAAGCCTTGATACTCTTGGTGACTGTCACTTTTTCTGTAACAAACTAAGTAGAACAGTACAAATTGGGTAACATGGAGATTTCAGTCAAACTTTCTAATTCAAGATCCCAATTGGATTAGCAGTCTGGCAGCATAGATGCCTGTTGGCACTGCCGGTCTGTGTGATGCTGCATGTTCTGCTTGCAAGGGCTTCATTGCTGCCCTGGCTTGACTTCCCATGAAGTACCTCCTTGGCCTTCTATGCCTGGAAGCAGGGGGAGGGGGTACTGTCTTCTCCTTGTCTCTTTGGTATCATTGTGCCTTGTGTGTGTTTCTAACCCTCTCTCTTGTTGCTGTCACTCCTCCTTTCTTCGCTGGCGCCATTTCTGTCCATCCCATCTCATTGGCTGCTGTAGCAATAGGTAAGAGACATGTCGCAGGCCATGACTGGCACTGTGCAGTGGGGAGTTTGTGCTGAAAAAGCTTCATTCACTTGAGGCTTCCCCTTCCATCTTGACCCAGTCTGGCTTTTTGGGTTCTTACTTTATTCTAGCAGGGTAACTTAAAGATGGGAGGGCTGAGGCTTTGGGAACAAGCTGATCGTTCCTTGCTGTGTGGGTCTGGTAAACAGTGCTGCTGCATCTCACTGAAAAGCTCAGGTGGTTTGAGTCGGATTTAACTTCACAGAAGAAACAGACTTTAGCTCAGAAGGCATTCATTAGGCTAGCGCAGACAAGTAAGTAATGCTTGAAAAACTACTATGTAAGTGAAGGTTCAGAGAGCTGGCACGTCATCTGGCCCCTCTTGAGGGAGGGTTGGTTAATAGCTCCCCAAATGCGTAATGGTATCCCTTAACCTGCCTAGCAAAATGCAAAGGTATCAGTTTCAAAGATACCTTTCAAAGATGCTTTCCTCACTCCGATTTAAATCTGTCTTTCTCCTCTGAGTGCCCCCCAACATAACTGGGTCAAAGCTAAGGTGCTGTGAAGGGCTATGGTGTAGTTGATGGATCCTAGCTAGCAGGTAGGTGTTGCTTTACTTGCAGGATTGCAACATAAAGGAAAGGTGGCACAAAGCTCTTCCTGGACTCTAAAAGACTTAAATTGGGGAGCTTTATTCCAATAACTGCTGGTCAAGATGGCAAAACCATGTTACAGGAGGTTTCAAGGCTGGCCTTGGGAGTACGTGGGTTTAAATTCCACTCCTGTAAAAGTGACTACATTTTGAGTAGAGGCTTAGTACAGTCTATAGTGGATGAAAAATTTGTGTGGGTTGTAAAATGAAGGATTAGGAAGATAACACAAGATATTTGGATTAAGGAGCTGTGTAGGAGAAGCTTGCAAAACACCTGACTTGTACTGTGTTCAGAACTTGTTTTCTGTGGTCATAAGGACAGTTAAGCCATTCAGTAAAATGCATTTTTATAGGCGTAGTTTACCTTTCCTTGGGTCTTGAAGCCATTGGCCCTTCTGGCCTGCCACACTTGAAGCAGGAGCAAGAAGTGTAAATTAGGAAGAGCAAAACATGCCAGATGGTAACAGACACCATTTGGATTGGCCTCCTCAACCCCTCCCTCCCCCCCCTGCAATGCTTTTGCTGTGTTTGGAGGTGAAGCAGAACTGGGAACAAAAGTGTCCAGGGAAGAGCAGCTCTCTTCTGTTCCTGGCTAACTAGTCTTGGTCAAAGGCAGGATGTATCCGTAGGATGTGCTAGGCTTGTCAGTGATGTGACAATGATGGACCCTTCCTTTTGGAGGAATGGGAGTATACTTGACATACTGCGGGGTGGAGGGGCACACAGGTGCAAAAGCTTGGATATAGGGATAGGAAGCAGGTGCTCTTAATCTGGTAACTTGCTTCTGTAACTATGCCACAGCCTTCCCTAGTGTTTGGTGTCTGACTGAGCCAGCCAACTAAGGTGAAGTCAGGCACTGGCTCTTCGTAGCTAGTGGGGGGAATTAACTCCCACCTTAGCTTATCACTGAGCCATAGTCCAGAGCTGCTTAGAGACCCAGTTGGCCCCTCTCTGTCTCCTTTACCCTGTACACTGCAAAGTTAACGTTGGTATAACACTTCTAGGCCCCTGTTATTTGGTGTCCAAAGGCACCCTACCTGAAAAGGGGATTGGGGCACGTGTTTGTAGCTTAACCAGGCATCTTGTCCAAGCAGCCAGGCAGATGTTATGCAGCCAACTCTATACAGTACCTGTGGAGTGTGACTCTGGCTTTCTCTTGCCCGACACCCCTCTAGGCGGAATGCGGTGGACGCCTTCCGTGTCAATGTCATCCACGCGCGGCAGCAGGTGCGCTCGCCTGTCACCAACATTGCCCGCACCAGTTTCTTCCATGTTAAACGTTCCAACATCTGGCTGGCCGCTGTCACCAAGCAGAATGTCAATGCCGCCATGGTCTTCGAGTTCCTCTACAAGATGTGCGACGTGATGACTGCCTACTTCGGCAAGATCAGCGAGGAGAACATAAAGAACAACTTTGTCCTGATCTATGAGCTGCTGGATGGTGAGGAAATTCCTTTCTGGCCCATTGCCTTGAAGCACAGCTGGTTTCCCATAGCTCCATTTGCTTTAGTCTAGCTTTGTTATCATGCTGGTCTGACATTCATGTGGGATTGGGTCACTGCTTCTGGCACTGCTTTGAAATCTTTTGGGAACATCAGGCATTCAAGGGTTGAGTTCTCCTGCTTCTCGGAGCCTTACTTCTGTGATAACTGCAGCATGCCTTGCTGGCAAGAATGATGTAAAGTGTTTATGTAAGATGGAGCAAATGGCTCTGGGATTTCATCAAAAACATGTGTTTCACGCATGGCCAATTGCTCTTTCTTTTAGTGTCTTTTGTAGAACTTGTTTTATTTCAGTCCATCTTGGGAGTCTCTGGGCCTTCCCTTCTAGCAAGGCTGTAACTCCTGCCTCTCTTGGCTGGAGAGTTGGCTCAGCCAACATAGCAGCAAGCTGCAAACTTGACGCTGAAATGGCCTTCTCATTATTAATATATATTAACTAGCTGTGGGGCAGGGTGCAGTGAGACTCCCTGACAAGTTGGTGTAGTTCAGAGCTGGGCTAAAAGGTAATGGCTGTATGGAAACCTTTCTGTTCTCTCACTAATCCTACACTGGGCAGGACAGCATCCCTCTGGAGCTAAAGACCTGCTGTTGAGGGAGTCTGGCATTACTACATGCAGTCTGTAACTCTTCCACTCCAAATTCTGGCTGTTCTTCCTCAAGGCATCCTCAGGAGGAGCAGGCTGGGATGTGCTGAGGTTTCCTAGTATGCCTAGAGGCTAGTGCTCAGTTAAGCTCTGCAGATTCCTCAGAGCTGTGGAAGAACTGGCTGCAGCTTCTTTTCCCTGGCTGACTGGGAGCCACGGGCCTGCCCTCTGCCAGTGAGCAGAGTGGGAGAAGTTCTGAAGGCGCAGCGTCACTCTGTATTCGCATTACAGGTTTCCTGTCCCCACTGGATCCCGTGGGTGGCTCGCTCCCTTCTGCAGGGCCCGAGCTCACTCATGCTCTCAAGGTAGCTAACGGCTGTTGCTTCCCTGCGGTGTCGCTACTCTGCTGTTATTTTTTTAGGTTTTGATTTTTATTACATCTTCATGCGAAAATCAAAACCTAAAGAAAATGCTGCAAAGATAGATTATTCTGCTGTTGGATAAACCCTTGGATGTTTGTGGATAAACCCTCGGTCAGTGTCCCCTGGTTGTCCGTCTCTGGTATTTGTACTTGGAAGTGTACAGCCTCCTAATAAGCACTAGCTTTTCCCTTCCTGACTGAGGAAATCTCCTCTACGCCTAAAGACTGTCTTCCTTAGATAACTCCTGCAGTTCATCTGACCAGGCTGCCCCTGTCCTCTTGACTAAATGCTGCATTGCAAGTCCTGGACTGACTGTGTTCCCTGCTGCTTGAACTCTAAGGCTTCATGGGGCATCCATGCACTAGACTTTACTCTCTAGGAACTCTTATGGGTGCAGCTGGCTGTGTGGGAAGTGACTTGTGCCTGTTGCCTTGAGGTTTGTCTGAGCTGATCATTTTTTACCCTTGTATAGAAATCCTGGACTTTGGCTACCCTCAGAACTCTGAGACGGGGGCCCTGAAAACCTTCATCACTCAGCAAGGCATCAAGAGCCAGGTAACCAAGGGGATCTGGGATGCACTGCTCTCTTCCTGGTCTAGATTTTGGTGGAAAAATTCTCAAGCAGAACCCACAAGAACTAATATAAGCCATATGCACTGCCCACGGGGCCAGAGCTGGGCTGGCACAAAATACAGGGTTGAACAGTTCTTGGGGTTGGGGGGGAAGAAGGGAATATGAAACATATTACATAAAGCTTTGTGCCTGCCTGACATGGACTGTGGTGTGTCCGAGTGTTAAATTGAAACGGACAGTGCAGCTTCATGTTTTGTTTTGTATCGGCTGAATGATTTGGCAGGTGAGGGCAAACCTGAAACCAGCAGAACTGTAAAAATAGCTCTGCTAGATGTAGATCTTGTCTCCAGCCTGCAGGAGCAGAGAGGCTCTTGCTCAGATCTCAGTGTCTCGGGCTACAGAGCTCTTCCACCTTCCCTTAGGCGATCTGTTCTGCAGCCTGTGTATGGGGGGGGTTCCTCCCATGTGCCCCCTCCCCTTCTATTCAAAATTCTTCACCCTTCAGCATTGTCACTAGAGTAGCACATAAGCCCCAAATGAAATTAGGACCTGCTGTGCCAGATGCTCTCTATAGACACTAGGCAATCCCTGCTGTGCAGAGCTTGCAGTTCTGAGAACTTATTTCATCCTCCTCTCTTGTCTCTAGTGCCATGTTAAGTCTTCTACATACTTCATGGAAGTACTTCTGAATGGGAAGGGAGCCTCCTAAAGGAAGAAGGCATGGCAGGGGGAAATCAGATTAAATTAGAGGCACAGGCCTTTTAAGAGAACCACCTGCTTCCTCAGATGCTAAGGAAGGCGTGTAACAGCATGGTTTAAGGCACTGGACTCACCTGGCCTCGGATTCAAAATTCGCTTCATCCGAGCCCTGGGGAAGGCAGCGGTCTTCCTCAAGGCAGGATTATGTAGGTGTTCACAGCTGCCTTGAGCAGTTCCTGACCTGCCCCTGGAGGGGAGGAGGAAGAACCAAGTGGTGTGAATGCACTTGCTCAGTGGTCCTGTGTCGGAAGGCAAGGCAGTGGTCTCCACCTTCCTGGGGCTTCAGGGGTGCTGCTGTCTCTCCAGAAGGCCTAGGGCCCTGCCCAGCAAGGCTCCATAATGAGCCTTTTCCCCCTAACATAGGGAGAAGTCTGCAGCTGAGAACTGCAGCTAAAACATCTTCTTGCCTGCTCTGCAGAACAGCAGAGGCTTTAGCTGGGGGTTGAGGAGCCTTGTCTAAGAGCTAAATGCTAACTTTTGCCTTGGTTTGGCTGAGACTCTCTTCTAGAGCTGCAGAAGCTTGTTGTGGAGCCTGCCCTGTTGCTGCCTTTGCCATGGATGAAAAGGCCTTGAGTCTCTAGCTGCAGCCTTTTGGCTTCCCTGGTAGCTTGGTTTTAAAAAAACAAAACAAAACCCAAAAACAAAACCAAAAAAACAGGAATCTAGTAGCTGTCGGGTTATCTGAATCCCTGGCCTAGGCAGGTAAGCAGATGTGGCAGCTCTGGGCCCTGCTCATCTTCCCTCAAACTGCTGACTCCTGCTTTAGCAGGAAGTATCAGGGCCAGATGTGAAGGCTGTGGGGAAGCTGCTCTTCCGGGCTCCCTCCCCCAGTCCCCTGTGCCCCTTGGCTCCAGCCTGCTGTAATCTGACATGTGGATGGGGGAAGAGGGCTCAGGACTCAGACTGGCTGAGTCAGCTCTCCTTCCTAGGAAAACACTCCACTAACCCCATCCATTGCTTCCTTCCTTTTTACTGTTCTGCTCGTCACGCCTGGTTTTAACAAATCTTTCTGTTCTTGTGCAGTATGTTTGGACTCAAATCACTATTCCTGGCCTTGTTGAATAAATTTGTAGATGCATCCAACCAAGTAGTGATGTGAGCTCCCATGCTTTGTGTGGTTGCATCTGGCTAGTGGTGGTGACTAAAATTACGGTTATTAGAAAAAAGTCTTTGCTAACTCTTTAGTTGACTTGTGCAGTCTTCATAATGGCACATGCTGGGAGTGTCGTTTTGCCTGAGTAACTGATACTTGTGCTATTGGAATTGGAGCCCCTGGTATCATGTCTGCTCAGTCCTTCCTGTCACTGCACCCAGTCAAAAGCAGTAGCCTGTCAGGTGTTCAGGGGCACAAGGATACATGTATGGGGAAGCTTACTGGCGAGGTGGGAGACCACAGGGCATGTCACCTGGGAAGAAGCAAAGCCCTGTATGGGTAGTGCCTTGAGTGCTTGCCTCTCTCTATTTTAAGGTGTTGCTACTAGCATGATGACCCAGCTCAACACCAGACAAGCCCAGCAAGCAAACCCCTTGCTAGTCGCATAGCTGACTGCAGTACTGAGCTCCCATGCTGCCCTCTTGCGGCCACAGCCCCTAGGGATGCTACAGTAGTACCCGCCTTTCCACCTTACAGCCATGTTGGTGGAAGACTAGGACTAGATTAACTGTGTGTACATGTTTCAAGAGTTGCCTTCCTACCTTGTAAGTAGTAGTGCCCTCCTGTGACTGCAGCTTCCTTCCTTGTGTCGGGTCACAGCAGAGATCTGGAGGTGGCAGTACAGACTGCACTCCCAGCACATCAGGGGCTCTGATGCAGGACAGGATGGCCAGCCTTGTTCTCCCTTCCTTCTGCCTGTCCTGCCGAGCAGGTTGCAGGCTCCTGCCGAGCAGGTTGCAGTCTCCTGCCATTCACTTGAGTGGTGCAGTGACAGTGAGTTGTTTTTTTTGTTGTTGTTTTTTTGTCTGAATCCCTAGAAGGCCCGAGTTCATGGTGAAAGCCCTGTCACACATCCCTGTTTTCCCACGTGATGACAAGCTGACTGGCTTTGTTCCTCTCCTGAAGTAGTCCTGAGCCTAACCTGCCTTTTTTCCTTCCTCCCCTCTTGTTACTGACCTGCTTGCCTGCTAACCCCATGTACCACACTTGCTGCTATACGTCTGCTTCCTCCTACCCTCTGCGTGTGACTGGACCTGCTTATAGCACCAGGTAGGAAAACTTGCTATACAGTCCAGCAAGTTCTTAACTCCTTTTCACGGGACTAAAGACAAGTGTGACTGCTACTGGGCTCCGTCTAATTGGAGTTGAACTTGACGCTGAATTTCTGTTCCCAACTCATGCCTGCTCTTGCCAGCCAGAGACAGCAGGCCAGATTTTCAGTGAAGCCCTGAACAAAGTGTTCAGCTACGTCCATTACGTTGATCTACCTGGGCCATAGTTTGCTGTAACCCAGCCACAATGGTTCAGCATAGCAGTTGTGGGATTAGTCTGCCTGTAACTAACCCACAGCCTGACTAACGGTCTTCCACCTTAGTTAGATGGAGGTTCATCCCAGGTTGCATATTGGCTACTGACTGACTAGTCACTCCAGCAACAGGGGAACCCTTTTTCATGGATCTCATCAAGCATGTGGCAGCATCCCTGTCTAAGGGCAAATGCAGTGTCATACCTCTTGAGTTTTGCCCCAGATTCAGCTGCCTCAGACTGACTGTGGGGGTCTGGCTTCAGTCTTGATGCCTAACCTGGGGTTTCTAACAACAAGGTGTTTTCCTCCCTCTTTTCAGACTAAGGAAGAGCAATCTCAGATCACCAGCCAGGTGACTGGGCAGATTGGCTGGAGACGCGAGGGGATTAAGTATCGTCGGAATGAGCTTTTCCTTGATGTACTGGAGAGTGTGAATCTCTTGATGTCACCGCAGGGTAAGTAAGGAGGATGAGCCCAGAGTCCAAACTTCCATGTGGGACAGGAGTGTGGACTCTTAATGGGGAGTCTTACACCTCCAGCATGGCTTCAGTGATCTTGTCTTCTCCACCCCAGGGCAGGTTTTGAGTGCACATGTATCTGGCAGGGTGGTGATGAAGAGCTATCTGAGCGGAATGCCAGAGTGTAAGTTTGGCATGAATGACAAGATCGTCATTGAGAAACAGGGCAAAGGGACTGCAGATGAAACGGGGAAAAGGTAAGAGGGGCTGGAGTAGGGTCCCTTATGAGCCAGGGATGCCCTCAAAGGGTAGCAGTTCCTTCTGATGTTGTAAATAGCTGATCTTTTTCTTCGCTTCCAGTAATGATCCCCAGCCATCACCTGAGGAGGCTACACTGTTGCTGGTCTCCCTAAAGGGTAAAAGGCATCAAAGGACTCCTGGCAGTAGGATGTGCTGCCAGCCAGCCAAAGTTTTGGTGCCATTCCCTACAAGAGGCTGGATTAGACTGGGGTCCTCTGGATCTGTCATGCCTGTACCATGTTCATGGGGGAGCCTTGAGTCGGGTGACTAGTATTTCATTCACTCCATGCTCAGCGGCTCAGGCCTGTGCATGGGGAAGTGCTCCCGTGTTTGGGGTATGCTGCTGCTGATCCCGAAGAGGTAATAGAGGACAGATGTACAGCACAGTCCCTCTCTGTGGCCAACTCGGGCCAGCCAGATTTGCTGGCCCTTGAGCCTCGGCTAGAATGGCCAGTTCAGTGCACTTGTCCCTGCACCAGGTATGCAAATGGAGACTTGCCCTGCCCATCCCAGGAGCCTTGTTGGCTTTACCCTTCGTGTTGCACCGTCAGTCAGTTCCCTTGCCCTCCTGCTGTAGACAGGCTTGTGCTCTTTCCAGCCTTCCCGCTCAGGACTAGAGTGCTGAAGCAGGCAGCGGCTGGCTACAGCAGTGAGTCTCCTTCCCACTAACACATTACTGATTGTGTTTCTTTTGTTTTCTGCTGACCCCAGTGAATTGGGCAGGTAGATAATCTGCTTCTGCTGTGTGCGCACTCCTCCCTTTCCTGTCTCTCGCTTTGCGTGACTTGTGCATGTGACGCAGACTTCGGATACTTCCCACAATGGTTCCTGTGACTGAGCTGCTACTTGCCTGTCTCTAAATGCTAGTTCTTCGTTTGGTTCTGAACTGTTGCTCTTTACTCAGTACTTCCAGTCTAGCTGGCTGTAGATAGAAAGATGGACAAAGCCTTGGTGGAGGGTTGCTGCTGTGGGGAAATAACATGGTTGGGCAGGCTTCCTGCTGGGGTTGGGACATGCAGAAAACCTTCTCTGGCTGTAGGTAGCCAGTAGCAGGTACCTTGCTCCAGGCTTTCTGCAGGTCGGGTTCTGTAGACTTGCTGGTAGAAACCCTCGCAGCATCCCTACTTGGAAAGACTATCTCTGGCATGGAAGCAGGAGTGGGGGGTAGACTTTGTGTTCAACTCCACTTCCTGTGGCTGTACAGTCTTGCGGGGGGCAAGAATTGGAGCTGTCACTAGCTGTGGTTACTGGTGAGCAGGAGCAAAGATGTGCACTGCCCTCAGGTCTTGACTTTACAAATTGCAGTGAGCCACTCTGAAGAAGTTTGTCTTCTGTCTCCATTCTTACCACAGGGCTTCCCAGTTGCTCTGTTGGAGTGTAGCCTACTCTGGTGAATGGCCTAGTCCACTAATACTGACCTCCCATGGATGTGGGAGGGCACCAGGTCCCACAGAGTCTCTCCTCTGACAGCCTAGGAAGGAAGTGGACTTGCTCTTTTGAGGCAGCAGTAAGCAGAGGCCCATGTACAGCTGGCGTGCCCAGGGCCTGCACAGGAAAGCAGCAGCTGACTGGGCTTGTCTAGCCTTGCGTTTACCGAATCCCAAGACGGGCAGTCACTACTCGCAGAAACGGACAGTCAGCTTGCACTTGTGAAACGTGGACACGCTAACACAGTCGTCCTATTTTCCCAAAATACTTGCCTCTCTGCTCTGACTCCCCCCTGTATCACAGTATCCCTTCACCCCTCCCCTCCAAGCAGCTGGCCAAATGAGTGCTGCCTACCTCTGGGCTGTAACAAGGGCAGCTGGTCCAGTCCATGTTAGCCCCCATTCAGGTACACTGCACTGAGCTGTGATCCCCTTTTAGAGCAGTGCAGGTGGCTCCCAGAGGTAGAACACCAGACTATCACGGTCTGTGGCAGGGCAGCTGTGTTCTTTGTGCACCAAACACGCTGTGCTGACTGACTCAGTTGGGAGGTCTGGAGGTGCCTGGAAACCTGAGCTGTGCTAGTCCACGACTCCCATGAGGAAGCCTCTGATCAGGAAGATGCCACAAGGGTATCCCTGGCCATAGGACTGGGATGCTGCTGCACGCAAGAAGGGGGCATCTCTCTTCAGACTGTGCTGCAGGAAGCCTGCTCGGGGCATGGCTGGCAGGGCAGACTTGGGTGCTGTGGGGCCAGCCTGGATTGAGGGTACAGCTGAAAACCAGAGCTCTCGGGCAAGTGTCCTAAAGTCTGATCTTGGCAGCTTGAGATGGGGGAACCAGTCTGCACTGGCAGGCCTGTGTCCCCTGAATCTCTGCTTCTTCCTCACTTCCTGGACATGGCTGTGATGGCAGAATGCTCTTGTAGACTAGTCTCACCGTGAACCCCAGCCTGGGCAGACTCCACGTGCACCCTGATACTCCCGGGGCTGCAGCTGATACTTCCCGTCTTGTGTTTCAGTGGCAAACAGTCCATCGCCATCGATGACTGCACTTTCCACCAGTGCGTGCGGCTCAGCAAATTCGATTCAGAGAGGAGCATCAGCTTCATCCCGCCCGATGGAGAGTTTGAACTAATGAGGTAGGGATGCCAGGAGCGAGCAGAGATGCTATTGGCCTACATGCCAACTGAGGGTTCCTATGGTGCTGTTAGTCTCCTGCTAACTAGAGTTCCTGGAGCCCTCAACAGGATATTCTGCCCTTGTACCTCATCCTCTCCAAGTCATGTTCTCCACCAGCTAAAAGTGAAGCCTTGCAAACCATCATGGCAGTATGGTGGTACCACTATTCTACCCTGAAGCCCAGGGCCACCTCTTCCACTACCCAGCAGTGCCCAGAGGGTGTAGTTCTTGAGAACCAAGCCCTACCATCAGTCTGTGCAGGAGCTGGGAATCCAGGCTCCCAGAGCTGTTCTTGACCGTGGCCTCTGCTTGCCTTCTTCTGGACGGTTCATTTAAACTTCTCCGTAACTGATGCTCTCCTACCAGCCATGGATGGCCTCCCAGCTTGGCTTTGGAAGGGCAGCTGCTATTTGAGGCCCCTTGAGCGACCTCCATGGCAGGCTCTAGTGACCTGTCACTCTCTTGTGTCTGCGCAGATACCGAACCACTAAAGACATCATCCTCCCCTTCCGTGTGATCCCCCTGGTGCGGGAGGTGGGCCGCACTAAGCTGGAAGTGAAGGTGGTGATCAAATCCAACTTCAAGCCCTCCCTGCTTGCCCAGAAGATAGAGGTAAGAGATGAATGACCCCAGAAGAGAGCAGCAGGAGGCTTAGCAAGCCCCTAGAGTCTTTGACTTCAGGCTGAGACCAGAAGGAAGCATCACTAGGTCTGGCAAAACTGCCAGAGCCGCAGAATGAGGGACACTAGTCCAGCTCTGTAGACGGCTCCATTCCTTCCCCCAGGCCCTGAGCCAGCCCCGCACGCTGTCTTCCAGTTTCCTGCGCAGAGGCTGCTCTCGGAGCGTTCCAGAGCTTTGAGCTCTTTGGGGTCTTGCACTTGCCCAATGCTGCCTCAGGCAAGCAGCAAAGAGCGACGCAACATGCGCATCGCTACTGGATATGCCACTGCTCTTGGTCTGGGTTGCAGTATAGAGCTTTCTGTGCCAGGCCACTGCTGACGGGACCCTTGACAGGCCTTTGGTTCCTATGCAGTCTGGTCCCTTGAGACCTACTGCAGTGGGCCCACCCTTTCTCTAAGGGGGCCTGCCAACCAGTGTAGCCTCACTTCCTGAAGCAGAGCTGTCTGCCTGAGCTGAAGGGAGAGGCCTCTGGCCACTCCTGGCCTGGCTCCCTCTACCCCCATGGCCAGTTTGTGTGCCAAAGGGGTTTGAAGCATCTCCCCAGGCTCTGTAGCCTCCACTCCCTACTGGGTAGAGACCTACTCCAGAACACTTGTAGTGGCATTTGGTATTTAGTCCACACTAACCAATAGTGGGCAGGGCCCTGAAATGGAGGCTGTAGGGAGGACCAAGGCAAGGGGCTACAGGGCCTGGGCAAACTGATTGGAGCCTCACGCACAGCTGCATGCACTGACCAGACTGGGCCTGCCCAACTGCTCCTTCTTCCAGGTCCGGATCCCAACTCCACTCAACACCAGTGGAGTGCAGGTCATCTGCATGAAGGGGAAGGCCAAGTACAAGGCCAGTGAGAACGCCATTGTCTGGAAGTGAGTGAACCTGGGTCCCAAGTCCACAGCAGGGCGCAAATCAGTGCTAGAGGCTCTGCTCTGCCCTGAGCATAGGGGGAGGAGGGGAAGAGGTGCCACCTAAGCTCTGACTCATCTGGCTCTCTCCACTAGGATTAAGCGCATGGCAGGAATGAAGGAATCCCAGATCAGTGCAGAGATAGAGTTACTGCCCACCAACGACAAGAAGAAATGGGCTCGGCCGCCCATCTCCATGAACTTTGAGGTAGGTGACTCTACCAGGTCTGGCCTGAAGGGCACTGTGTCACTGCCTCTGCCCCGGGAGCTCTTGTGCAGCTCAGACTTCTAGGGAGACCCAGGAGTGGGCAGGGATTGAAGCTGCCTCCAGTGTTGATCTCTGATAGAGGGTGGAGCTTTTCCCCAACAGGCACTACAGCCTTCTACCCATTGCCCTCTTACTTGGATGCGGGCCTGAGCAGGGGTTCTCATGGTCCATATTCCTGCAGGTCCTGTCAACCTGGCTCAACCTCTGTCGCTTTGTTCTCTTGCACAGGTCCCGTTCGCACCCTCTGGGCTGAAGGTGCGTTACCTGAAAGTCTTTGAGCCAAAGCTGAACTACAGTGACCACGATGTGATAAAATGGGTGAGGTACATTGGCAGGAGTGGGATCTACGAGACCAGATGCTAGCCCCAAGAACCTGGCGGGCTCCCTCTCTCCCCAGCCAACCCCCAGTCTCCTCGGTCTCCAAGTACGTTCAGAGAACATCCATCTGGCCCCCTCTGCACATGGATTGACAGATGCCCGTGGCTCCTCTTGGGAATGGACTCGTCCGCCTGTGACCTGTTACAGCCGAAGTTCAGAACCCAGCCATGGACAGGAGGAGCGTCGTCAACCTCCTGCTTTCTGTCCCAGGGCAGGGAAGGGCTAGTCTAACCACATCCCTTACGATCTTTCTAGGGAACGTCCACCATTAAACTCCTCTTCTGTTGGTGTCTCACTACTTGCATTATATCCTAGTATTTTTGAAGTTCTTGTGCATATGTACTCGTAGAATAGGCCTGAAAAACCATAGACTGGACAAATCCGAGTTGAAGCTAACCTGGCTCTGTACTAGCTATTGCTGTTGTGGTAGGTGTTGCTGTACGCTCTGAGGCACTGAAGGGGGTGCCAGGCTTTTGGGCCTGGCTGCCTTTGTTTCTTGCAAAGTCTTCAGTAGCGAGTCCTGCCGCGGGGAGGTTTGTGACCAAACAGCTTGAGGGTTTGCCCCCTTGCTGGTGTGTATGTGGGTGGCGCAGCATTTCAAAGCCCATGCCAGGTCCTTGGAGCACTTTCCCACCCCTCCATGTCCCTCACCTGCTGGCTCACTCGAGCCAGAAGCTGTCCCCTCATTGCACGGCACCAGGGTGCAGGGCAGCCCAACTCTCCGGGATGGGAATGGCGGGGTCCGTCCTCCACAGCCTGCAACGGGAATGGCCAGTAAGAGCCCCTGCCCCAGCCTCCCCTCTCCACACTTCTACTGATGCTTCTGGGCCAATAGGAATGCTGCTGCTACCCACAATCCTCTGCTTCTGGTAGTGTGGTCTCCATTTCGTACAGTTTGTGATTTTTGTCCAGTTCTAGACCTAATAAAGTATGTAGAATGGATATGGCTGCCTGTGCTGCTGTTCCTGGGCTGCGGAGGAGCTGGGGCTGGGGTCTTCCAACCACAGAGGGAGAGATGCTGGTGGGTGAAATGGAAGGGGCGAGAGCAGCTCTTCTGGCAACAGCAGCACTGCTCACTTGGCTGCTGGCTTCCCTGACTTGGCTGCAGCAGGGAGCCCTGCTGCAAGATACTGGTCTCTGCCCTGGTGCTGGTAAGCAACTCCTCTGGGACTTTGCCTCTGGTCCTGGGCTAGGGAAAGCCACAGTCCCACAGTTGTGTGGACTTGTATCTGCGTCTGGATGCCTCTGCTCCAGTGCAAGGTGAGGCTGCCACCTGTGGCCCATATGTTCCCAGAGAGGGACTGTGGTTGTGACAGGAGCTGGCTGTCCCACTGCAGGCTCAGGCAAGCACCTCTGCTCGCCCCTGGAGCACTGGGTGCTGGTGTAATAGGAGCTCATGGCAGCCTTGCTTTTGCCAAGCACGAGCTTGTGTCCTGGATGGCTCCTTGCCCCTGCATTGCTCTGTCTAGTCTCCCGTGTGAGCCTCACTTCTGGCTGGAAGCTCCTGAAGTGTAGTAGCCACATGTCAACCCTACTTGTTAACTAGGTGCTCTGCAAGGGCAGGGTTGTTACCAGCCCCCCTTGTCTCCTGGGGGGAGTAGCACAGCTAGGTCTAAGTCCCCTTCTGCTGAAGTGAGGTCTGAGCCCAGTGCCCCCCACCTATGATGGGTAAGCTGTGGTGCTGTGAGAGTACTTGCAGCAGGGTGGCCCCAGGCTCTGGGCCTGCTGCACCCTGTGCACTGTCCCAGGAGTGAGGAGGGGCATCCTGCACCACCACCACCCCTTGCAGGAAGGGATCTCTGCGTGGAGCTCCCTGCATCAGGCACAGAGCCCAGCCAGGCAGAGGGAGGCTGGGAAAGGAGGGTGCATGTAACACGTGGCTCCAAGGTTTCCTCCTCACCCCTGACATGTGGCTGTCCTCATGCAGAACAAAGGAGGGGAGCCTGTTCCTAGATCACAAAGCCACGTGCTGAAATGGGATTCGGGTGGGCTCTGCCAGTCGCCCCGTGTC